CACACACACACACACACACACACGCACACGCACGCACGCACAAGTACACTTATGCACATTTTCCAATTCTTGCCGTCTTTTATGTTAATATCTTGAATGCTAACAAGGTATGTCCGTTCCAGGGAACCCTTTGTTGTAGTTCTAATTGACTCGTTATGTTTTCAGAGCGACGAGATGTACCTGTGCATACAGTCGGGCCGGCGCTCCGACACCATCCTGTTCCACCACCAGGGAGGGGTCGACGTCGGAGACGTGGACGCCCTGGCCATCCGACTAGAGGTGAGCGATGTGCGACTGTACGTACAGTAGGCGCGCGAGTTCATGTCCCGTCCTGAGGAATGCGGTAGTGCTGTGACCTAGTTAATTATGGTAATGTCGATAATAACGATCGATTTAGTCAACAGCTGTCAATTTGGTTTAGTGTAAGTTAAGGTAATTTAGCAAATTATGAAATAAAATAAATGTGATAAGTAATTACTAGAGGTCGCAGTAGGTAGATTGATTTAAGGTCGTTGACGTCAAACATAGAGGATAATATGGATATGCCTCCAAAATACCGGAACTTCATATTTATTGTGATATTTGTTCCGGAATTTTAAAATTACCATGAATCTGTGCTTAAGGTGAAAAACGTATTAATAATATTAATCTACGCTACCAGTGCTAGCTAATGGTGAAAGAAATCAGTATTTTATTTTATACAAAAACACCTTGGAATAGTTACACCGTATTTTGTCCCTTTCTGTTGAATTAGAAATGACGCTTGTAAGTATGAGGCTAAACTTAAACAAGACTTTTTGTTACTTTATCTTATAAATATATAAATTGTGTCCGATGAGGATCAAAAAGTTTTTTTTTTCAATTTAAAAAAATAATTATTATGGATAAAATGGCATGTCCATATTATAATATATTGACGCAAGTGTATAAAATCAATCCCCCTACTCCGACCACTGGTAATTACTTATTTATTTCTAATAGAGATTTTTTTTTATTCCAATTTAATCACTTATTAGATGAAAATACATCTGACAGATCAGAGTCGGAATCAGTCATGTATCTTTTTTCAGTAGGTTTTTTTCTACCTGAACTTGTTGGAAGCGGAGTAGTCATGGTTAAATAACACAATAGCGTTAGCGTAAATATTCGATATCGATAAGCGCGTGTCACAACAGTCTAGGACAGCGGTCGGGGAACTTTTTTAATTATTACCCCAAAATATTTTTGTGTAAGTTGTTATTGCCCTATGGTCAAAAACAAAAAAAAACGAAATCGCTTCTTTTTAGCATATTTTATGTTATAGCACCCATGATAATTTTGAAAAGAAAACAATAACTAAAAATTTAATTGAAACATCATTTATTCAATTTACCCATTGATAAATTAGTTTTATATTACTAGGTATTACATTTAATACCTAGTAATACAAAACGGTAATAATAGTAATATATGTAATATACAGCTGAGGGCAAAAAAATCGCCCCCACAGAAAATATAAATAAATGATAATTTCTTGTTTTAAGTTTGAAATCACAACGATTCTAAAAAAGTTTCACTTTAATATATACTTTTTACTCACAAAAGTTTCATTTTTACGCCCCAAAAATTTCATTTTACCCCATTTGGAGCAATTCACCCCGGTTCCCCGACCGCTGGTCTAGGACAACACTCGAAGTCAGACAAATGCGGGGAGGCGGGGAAGGTGGGGCGAGCTGTCCCCCGCGCGTCGCCTCTGGTCCCGATGGACATGACTCGCGCGCATACTGTATGTAATATCGATGTTTTGAAAATTCATCGAATCCGAGATGCGGCCGGTGCATCGATTCGTTTGCCTGATCGATTTAATACTTGGTACGGTAATTGTTAGGTGAGGTTTTTAACGAGGAGTCTGATTGACAGGTGCCCGTGGACACCTTCCCGACGGGAGAAGAAGTCGAGAGGGTTTTGTTGAAGAACGTCAAATCTCCATCTACTAAAAGGTATGTTTTTTTTATTGATCACACACACATATATATATATATATATATTTATTGCCCTTGTCTGCAGACGAGCATACGGCCCGCCTGATGGTGAATGGTTACCGTCGCTCATGGACTTCAGCAATGCCAGGGGCAGAGCCAAGCCGCTGCCTACAATCGTTACATAGATAAATATACGACGTTTATATGTATATTGTAGTATTAGTTACGTATATAATATCGACAGGTGAAAGTCTTAGTTATCAAGTCATAAAATCCTTTAAAAAAAGGACAAGACATTAGGCCAACGTACATATTAAGGTTATCGTATCGACATCGGTCCTCGACGCGCGTGCGAATTGTCATGTCAATTTGACGTTTTGAAGCCTAAGAAAAAACGTTAGAAAGATTCCGTCACATAGATATATAGATACTAGACGAGCTAATATAAGCGTATTAAAAATGTACTGCGCTTTTGTCTTTGTATTCCTAAAACCATTAATCGGTTTGTATTGAGGCCCGGTACAGCTGTCCCTCCGGGGAAGGGATCCGTCGTAATATCTACATCGGGCGACAGGGTGTGCGCGGGGGTAGCTTCAACATATCTGTGTTTGTGATATGAGCACAGTGGAGTGCGTCCGGGTGTCGTGGCCTAAAGGATAAGACGTCCGGTGCATTTGTATGTAGTGATACACCGGTGTTCGAATCCCGCAGGCGGGTATCAATTTTGTCTGATGAAATACGTACTTAACAATTGTTGATGATTGACTTCCACGGTAAAGAAATAACATCGTGTAATAAAAATTAAACCATTTGGGTCCGCGCGGGTAGGTACCACCGCCCTGACTATTTCTGCCGTGAAGCAGTAATGCGCTTCGGTTTGAAGGGTGGGACAGCCGTTGTGCTGTAAAACTGTCACTTAGAACTCGAGGTGGGTGGCGGCATTTACGTTGTAGATGTCTATGGGCTCCAGTAACCACTTAACACAACGTGGGCTGTGAACTCGCCCACTCATTTTTTTAATTTTTTTTTATATCTATGCACAAAACAAATTACAACCATAGAAATCATAAGTATTAAATATTTAACATAACAATTTGGATTGCAATTCTAAACAGGTGCATACAGAAAAAATTTAACAACTGAACAGATGCCTAAATACCTACACACATCCGGTATATACATACACACATCCGGTAGGCAGCGGCTTGGCTCTGCCCCTGGCATTGCTGAAGTCCATGGGCGACGGTAACCACTCACCATCAGGTGGACCGTATTCTCATCTGCATACAAGGGCAATTAAAAAAAACCGCTCACACACACACACACACAACCCCACGCACAACCCCACGCACACACACACACACACACATCTAAGCAATAAATAAACAAAGGATACGCTAATATACCATATATTCGGATCATCTCTTTCCCAGGACCCTGACGACGTTCATAGTGTCTCTATACCGCGTCTACATTGACTTGTACTTCACGTACATGGAGATCAATCCGCTGGTGGTGACCAACGAGAGGATATACCTGCTGGACCTGGCCGCGAAACTGGACCAGACCGCGGACTTCATCTGTGCGAAGAACTGGGGCGAGGTCACGTTCCCTCCGCCCTTCGGGAGGGACGCCTACCCTGAAGAGGCGCACATCGCCGACCTGGACGCCAAGAGCGGGGCCAGTCTGAAGGTGGAATACGGTTTATTGTATTAATTCCTTGTTAGTCCAGTCCTGAGTGACTCGTATGCCCTGGGAGCAGACGGCGACGGTATCGGGAGCCATAGTGGTAATCAGGTTTACTGGTGGTAGGACCTCTTGTGAGCCCGCGCGGGTAGGTACCACCGCCCTGCCTATTTCTGCCGTGAAGCAGTAATGCGTTTCGGTTTGAAGGGTGGGGCAGCCGTTATAACTATACTGAGACCTTAGAACTTATATCTCAAGGTGGGTGGCGCATTTACATTGTAGATGTCTATGGGCTCCAGTAACCACTTAACACCAGGTGGGCTGTGAGCTAGTCCACCCATATAGCAATAAAAAAAAATTGTCCAGTGCTGGGTGACTCGTATGCCCTGGGATCAGATGGCATCGAGAGTTAAAGAAGATGTCTAATAGTGGTTAATCAGACTCCATAGACAAAACATGAGTACTGTTTGTTCATAATCTGTGCGAAGTTAAACTAGTTAGTGCCGGCATGTGCGATAGAGGGCGTCCCGAAATTAATTGAATTTATTTCGACGCGTTGAAAGAGCCGTGTTTATGAGGTGACTGAAAATTGCGGGTAGGATGCTCGGAGCAGATAAATCTATGTACCCTCTTTCTAGTCTTTGCTCGTACCACTGGAACTCGATGAGAGTATCAACAAATTTTTCGAATACAATGTAACATTAAAACTAGAAATCATTTTAAGAAAACCCGTAATTAATAATGTTTGTTTAAAATATCGATGAGAATTTATGATTTGATCTTCTATTTGCACTTTAAATTTTATCTATTATAGTCCGTCTTCTGAGAGTGTGTAAAAAAAAATTGTCAAAATTAATGTGAAGTTTTTAAACGATCTTATTCTGTTGTTATTAAGTTTGCGATTTGTCACGACCGCGATCTCTCAGCGGCCGGACTGTAAGTAATGACCTTGTGTCATTGGCCGGCTTTGAGCTTTGCTTTTCAACTATTATAGTCTGTCTTCTTAGAGTTTATAAAAAATAAATAATAGTTTAAAAAAAGTAAAAAATACGCTTTTATAGAAAATCCAACTAAAAATAGAAAATAAATTTGAATTAAAAATAGTGTAAGAAAAAATTATTTTACTGTAAAAAAAAGCGTGGGGTGCATGGTATCAGTAGTTATAAATATTTAATGAACAGATATGAGTAGAAGGGTTATTTTGGTAATATCCTGAAAAGCACCCTTCTATCTTTTATTCTTCTTTCTATTTTTTAGTTAGATTTTCTATAAAAGCGTATTTTTTATGATAGTTTTTTTAAACTATTATTTATTTTTCATTTTTTAGTTGAATTTCAATTTATTAATTTTTTTTTGTATATTGAATTGTCATTCAATACGACATTTTGAAGGGGGGTCAAAATCGTATTCAAAGATTCCGTCACATACTAACATACATACGTCTGAAGCTAATAAAAGCGTATTAAAAAATTGAAACGATCTCTGGGTGGCCGGACTATACTGGATGTTTTCTCCCCCTTGTAGTTGACGGTGCTGAACAAGTCTGGTCGCGTGTGGACGATGGTGGCGGGCGGCGGCGCCAGCGTGGTGTACACGGACACGGTGTGCGCGCTGGGCGGCGCCCACGACCTGGCCAACTACGGGGAGTACTCGGGCGCGCCCACGGAGACGCAGACCGCGGACTACGCGAAGACCATCTTCAGCCTCATGTGCCGCGAGAAGCATCCCGACGGGAAGGTGCGTACTAGCTCCCACGAAACAAGCGACGTTTTTGTAATGACACACGAGTGAAATTTTTTTAATTATTTTTTCTAACATTAGAGTCATACACCTATTAGGTTAAGTCGGCTCGAGAGCCATTTAAAGTTTGAAATTTTGAAAATCAATGTCATAACAAAAAAAAATCGTCAGCTACTTAAATGGGATAAACTTGTTTGATAATCTCTATTAGTATATTATGTGATTTATAAACTCGTCAATAACATGTAGGCTTCTTTAATTATTAACATGTCTTTGCCATTGCCCATATCAATAACAGTTTTTTTTTATGGCCGAAGTAGAAACTTGAACTGCCGTCACTTGCCTTACGAAATGAGGTCCGTACTGCCGCACTACCAATCAAAAATAAAATGTTCTTGAAGTTAGTCAAAACAAAATAATATCTGATAACGAATAGGTTAATAAATACATATCGACGTTTGAAAGGCAAACGTGACTAAGCGACAGTAACTGCTTTGTACATAAATGATAGGCAATAACCATATTCGATGCGCAAAAAATATATATTTCTAGGTCCTATTAAAATCATTTCAATCCTACAGCTAGACTCGTTAAAATAAAAAAAAATTCAGGTATTTCAACTTTAAATTAGTGTATTGTAAAGTTCACGGATTGTCGCTTAGTCACGTTTGCCTTTTAAGCGTCGATATGCTTAATTCGCATATGGATATCATATCGAGGGGTGAAAGATTATTTGGTTTAAGCGACTTTATGCAATTTTACAAGAGAGCCGTTTAAAGTTTGAAATTTAGAAAATATATAACAAAAAAATTGTTCAGTTATTTGAATGGGGTAAACTTATTTGATAGTTCAATTAAGTACGTCAAATTGTTGATGCTAATACCAAATAATACGCACCTTTAATTACAAAGATAAATGTCCTGTATCGACCGAAATGTCTCGCTCTTTCACTTCTCAAAAAACGGTCTTTTAATTACAACTAGAGGTCCCGCAGTAGTCGAAATTCGACTATAATTAATTGGAATTGTAAGTTTGTACACTATTATGATTGTATTTTATACTTCTATAATCACAAATTTCGCCAAGACTACACTATAAAAAATATTAACAAAGACAAGCAATATTTAATCTATCCTCAATTTGACAACAGACGTCAAGAACAAAAGTTTGACAATAAATAGTATGCATGCGTGTGTGCGTCAAATACATGGTAGTGTGTGTAATGTTTTCTTTATTGATTTAATGTATCTCTTTTATGCATTATTTAAAAAATATAAAATTCTTCTCTATATTCTCTATAAGTGTGGAAAATTTCATACTCCTCCTCCGTGCGCGCAATTTTCGTAAAAAGGGATACAAAGTTTTTGCTTCACGTATTAATATATAGATAAATGTCGCGTATTGACCGAAATGTCTCGCTCTTTCACCCCCCGAAGTACTGCTACGAACGCGTATAATAAAAAATTAAACCCGCAATTATTATGGTATGCGTAATTACTGGTGGCTTTATGAGCCCGCCTGGGTAGGTACCGCCATTTCTCTCATTTCTACCACAATGTAAAAAACTTAAGATTTTAGAACTCATGACTCTGTCTCTGTCATATTTCTTTTTTTTTTGATGAACTGGACTAGCGCAGTAAGCTCTAAGGCGTTTACCGGTCACAAGTGTCCATGGACATCATCACTAAAATTCAGCCATCCGGGGGATGGGGTATCGGTCCTTGGGCTCCAGCGCGTGTTCCCTTCACCAGGTACTGATCGTGGGCGGCGGCATCGCCAACTTCACCAACGTGGCGGATACCTTCCGGGGCATCATCACCGCCATAGAGACGTACAAGGACGCCCTAAAGCAGTACAACGTCACCATCTTCGTCAGGAGGGGGGGACCGAACTACCAGGAGGGACTCAGGTGAGGGGACTACCGACTCAACATCTCAAGGTCTGGCGGGATTTGTGCGATGATGTCCATGGACAGCTTTTATGATTATTGCTTATTGGTTAGTGGGCCCCATAGACATCTACAACGTAAATGCGCCACCCACCTTGAGATATAAGTTCTAAGGTCTCAATATGGCTACAATGTCTGCCCCGCCCTTCAAACCGAAACGCATTACTGCTTCACGGCAGAAATAGGCGGGGTGGTGGTACATACCCGCGCGGACTCTCAAGACGTCTTACCACCAGTAAAAAAGCAACCAAAACATCGATCGTTAAACATTGATTTTTTCCAGCCAAACATCGATGAATATCGATTATCCCTACGTCAATGTATGTTTGTATTTTATCCTGCAAATATCGAGACGAGATCACATCTGACACACCTCTGCAATTTTGTTACGTGTGGCGTCATAAGAGGCTAATTGTAGTCAAGGTAGAGGGGAAAGAAGTCGACCGAAGAAGACGTGGATGGAGTGTGTGAATGACGATATAAGAGCGAGAGAGGAGTGAGTGTTGAGATGACGGCTGATAGAAGAGAATGGAATAGTAAAATTGGCTGTGCCGACCCCACCTAGTGGGATAAGGCGGAATCAAAGAAGAGAACCGAAGTATTAGCCACGTATGACGTCACACACCGTGTCTACATTCCGGCTTCGTTACAGACAAATGCGCGAAGTGGGCCAGCGCCTCCGCATCCCGCTGTACGTGTTCGGTCCGGAGACGAACATGACGTCCATAGTGGGCCTGGCGCTGGGACACTCGCCCATACCCAAGGAGCACCAGCTCGACTACGCGCCCAAGCAGCTGCCCAGGCCGCAGCCCGCGGTGAGTCCCGATGACAACTTATATATATCGGCCCAACGCTACTACTTACTAAACTAAAATTTATACTAATATCGTCTTCTCGCATTAAAACTGTATAATCTCAAAACTTGCTAATTTTACAGGAGAGTGTTTTAAAGGTTTAACATGTGATATTTTTAATATTAATTATCTTTGCAACATTTATTTTCTATTTTAATTGGATTTTCTATAAAAGCGTATTTTGTTAGTTAGTTTTTAAACTATTATTTATTTTTATAATTTTTTAGTTGAATTTCAATTTTTTCAATATTTTTTACTGTATATTGTATATAATATACCAAATTCCGAGTTAATCCGACGTTTTGAATGGGGGTCAAAATCATGTTCAAAAAAGATTCCGTTACATACTAACATACATACGTCTCAAGCTAATAAAAGCGTATTAATAACTGTTGTCGTCCTCCGCAGCCGGCTCCGAAACTGGACCTGCCTGACGTGACCCACAGCCTGCTCGACCTGATCTGCTCCCAGGCCCCGACCAAACTGGACCTAGGGCAGGGTGTCTCCACCTCAATGCCCCTCTTCAGCGACAGAACGAAGGCCATCATATGGGGCATGCAGAATAGGGCCATACAGGTCAGTGTTTTTTTTTTTAAACTATGGACTTTTAAGTCAAATTCAAACGTTTCCCAGATTAATCTATACTAATATTATAAAGCGGAAGAGTTTGTTTGTCTAATCTCTGGAACTACTGGTCCGATATGAAAAAATCTTTCAGTGTCAGACAGCCCATTTATCGAGGAAGGCTATAGACTATATAACATCACAGTAAGACCAATACAAGTGGAGCACCGATAAAGAATGTTTCAAAATAGGGGTTTAAATAGCTCATTAACATTCTATAATTCAAAAATATCTTCACTTTCTACGTAAATGAAGTGGGAGTAAAATTTAGCGTTATGACAAAGTAACTATTCCACGCGGACGGAGTCGCGGGCAAAAGCTTGTGTTAGATATTTAGTGGTGAGGCTCTAGGGGAAAGTCCCAAAAGCCACGCTCGGCTAATTTGCTTCTCATGTACTTGACTTCGTCACCAGCATCGCACGCTTAATCCTGAACATTCTGGAAATAAAAACCAATTTGGGAAACAAATACGTACTCAACAAATGTTCTCGATTGAGTTCCACGGTTAAGGAATAACATCTATACTAATATTATAAAGAGGAAAGATTTGTTTGTTTGTTTGTTTCGAATAGACTCCGAAACTACTGGACCGATTTGAAAAATTCTTTTTCCATTAGAAGCCGACATTGTCCATGATGAACATAAATAACTATTTTTAAAAAAAAAAATATTTAATTTTTTTGGTTTCATGTGTGTTTTAATGTTTCCGAAGCGAAGCGAGGGCGGGTCGCTAGTCGTGTAATAAAAATCAAACCCGCAAAATTACAATATGCGTAATTACTGGTGGAAGGACGTCTTATGAGTACGCGCACCACCCCCTGCCTATTTCTGTCGTGAAGCAGTAATGCGTTTCGGTTTGAAGGGTGGGGCAGCCGTTGTAACTATACTTGAGACCTTAGAACTTATATCTCGAGGTGGGGGGCGCATTTACGTTGTAGATGTCTATGGGCTCCAGTAACCACTTAACACCAGGTGGACTGTGAGCTCGTTCACTCAATTAGCAATAAAAAAAGATAACCTAGGTTCTAGATTTTTAAGTCAAATTTAAACATTTCCCACATTAATGTTAGATATTAACTGCTAAGGTTTTAGGGTCCCAAAAGTCATGTTGCACGAATTTGCTTCTCATCCTCTTGACTTCGTCATCAGCATCGCACGCTTAATCCTGGAGATTCTGGGAATAAAAATCAATTTGGAAAACTCACCTAGACGGGACATAGAATGTAGGTAGACCATCATTGTGCATAGTTTTGCTGCGAATGAGACACGTTCCATCTTGAGACGTGAGGTCTATAAGTTTAAATCGTAAAATGCAACTCACACTTGTCCCGTATGGGCGTTTGTATGGTGATGTCCATGGACAACATTAACCCGTCCGTCTCGTTTCCAGGGCATGTTGGACTTCGACTACATCTGCCGGCGCTCGGAGCCCTCGGTCGTCGCCATCGTGTACCCGTTTACGGCGGACCACAAACAGAAGTACTACTTCGGGAACAAGGAAGTCTTCATACCGGGTGAGCGGAGAACTCTGGTACCTACCCGCGCGGGCTCGAAACATGCCCTCCCTGCCTTTAGTATAAAAAGTTTAAGTAAAAGTTGCCTGCTTTAACTCAAGTCGTAAAGTTGCTCACTTACAAATGACGTCATTTGAGGCCAAAACAATCGACGGATTGATTTGGCCTCAAATGACGTCATGACGAAAGAAGATTAAATTGAACATAAAAAAAAATTGTTTTTTTTTTTATCATATCGATTTTATTTACTTTACTAAAATAAAGATGGAATTAAAATCAAGTTTGTGTGAAGCATGAGGATCCCACATTAATAGGACAAGAAACAAAAAAGTTATTAATACAGGAATGTTGTTGGATGTGGGTAACGAACCCACGACCCTCAATCTAGCAGTCAGGGATGGTAAATACTGCACCACGGAGTCAATGTCATTTGATAAAGCTTTTAAGCTTTTTTTTATCTTTAAATTGAACAAAAGCTTTTTTGCTGATTATTTTCGTATAGATAATTTTGTTGAAAAAATTTCTATTATCCGAGCGAAGTCTGGGCGGTTTGTTAGTTAACAATAAACTTTATAAACAGAACGTCATTTAAAAGTAATATTGTCGGTTCGATTCTGAACGCGTATCTTTTAACGGTCGGGCATGAATATGCAAAGACTACCCACATATGACGTCATATGTTACATGATACACGACGGCGAATGGGGTTAGGTCTCCCGTTGTGAGCGCGCGTGCCCGCGTGTCGTGCGGCGACGTCACGAGTCTCGTTCTGATTCCAGTGTTCTCGGACATGGACGTGGCGATGCGCAAGCACCAGGAGGCGACGGTGCTCGTCAACTTCGCTTCGCTTCGCTCGGCCTACGACAGCACCATGCAGGTACTGCGACATTAGTAGCGTTGTTCGAAACTAATCTGTGGCGGGACTTTTTGGCGGGAACGCGAGGAGTGAAGTTGTGTGTTTTGTTTTATTTTGTCTATTTAGTGTTTCTTCAAGTTTAAATGTGTAATAACGGTAGTTGATTAACTGTTTAGTATCTGTGATAGTGCACAAATGTGGGAAAATGAAACAAAGGCGCTGGACGTAACTTCTCGGGATCTTCCAAAAAGTCCACTGAAAAAATCTCAGTAAAAATGACCACCATTCTACTGAGATTATATTTCATCCCATATTACATATCATTTTTCATCTAAATTTCTATTCTAAATATGAATATCATTCATTCACTAAAAAATAAGAATACAAATTAAAATAAGACATGACCTAAAGGCCTTAGTTACCAGGTCATAAAATCCCTTTAAAAAATCCTAAGGCGATGCGACGTGGTTATCCGTGGTGAGGGATAAGCTAATAATAATCTATTAACGAAATACGTCACTGCGTCGCGCGATCGCGGCACGTGTTCGACTGGACCCTCGTGCTGGTTTCCTGGTTTCCCTGAGACCTAGGCTACCACGAGGTGGTTGGATCACACACGAGCTCCGAGTAAATCTGCAGTAACACCCAACCCTCCCCTCCGAATCAAATGAGTTGTCAATCACGAGCACACTGTCGTCTCCGTCTCCAGGCCATGCAGCACCCTCAGATCAACACCGTGGTCATCATCGCGGAGGGCATCCCCGAGAACATGACGCGGAAGATCATCAAGCTCGCTGACGTCAGAGGAGTGAGTGCACGTGACTGTGTGATGTATTTTTTTTTTATTGCTTAGATAGATGGACGAGCTCACAGCCCACCTGGTGTTAAGTGGTTACTGGAACCCATGGACATCTACAACGTAAATGCACCACCCATCTTGAGATATAAGTTCTAAGGTCTCAGTATACAACGGCTGCCCCACCCTTCAAACCGAAACGCATTACTGCTTCACGGCAGAAATAGGCAGGGCGTTGTACCTACCCGCGCGGACTCACAAGAGATCCTACCACCAGTAATGTATGTAAATATGACGTCATCAGTTTGCCTCTCAATGAGGCCATCAGCGCAAAAGTGGTCTCAGCTTACCATGGTTAGTATGGAGATAATGAGGTTCGTATTACCTTTACAATACTACATATGAGTCGTCTATTATCAAAGGCGGCAATCTGACTTTTGGACAATGATTGGTAAATCAGAAAAACGAATTATTGACTTTGTATTCCATTGGCAGTCACAAAACTCTTCGGAACGACATCTTAGATAAATAACAGGTTAACTATTAACCTTTATTTAATGCAGGTTTTGAACCGTATTCTTTGAAGGAGACGATTATATTCAAATAAATCTGTATTGACATATCAATAAAAAATTTTTGTCCAAATGTACAGATTGCCGCCTTTGATAATAGACGACTCATATGTAGGCAAAAAAATACGCGCTAAAATGAGGTTTACAAAATCATCTGTTATCTACGGATGAAACTAGGGATGGGCCGATTTTGCATCAAAAGTTTTATTATTTTTTAAATAAATTGCAATACATAAGCACGAATATGAATTGTGGGCTAGGCCACTTTTGCGCTGACGGCCTCATATATAGTACAGTCGTCGAGCCGACGGTGCAAAGGGTTAATATATTAATTGTTTTTCAGGTGAACATAATCGGGCCTGCCACTGTGGGAGGCATTAAACCAGGCTGCTTCAAGATCGGCAACACTGCTGGCATGATTGACAATATCATTGACAGCAAACTGTACCGGCCTGGGAGGTGCGTAACTTGCACTAGAGTCTTCTAAACTAATACCGTACTGCGAACCTCATCCCTACTGTGAGGTCGTGAAAATAAAGTTGTGACTTCGACCTCATGTCGTATCGTGAGGTCCTCTTTCGACCCCTTATATTATATACAAAAGTTTAGTACTACAAAAACACTTTTTTTTTTTATTGCCCTTCTAGGCAGACGAGCATACGGCCCTCCTGATGGTGAATGGTTACCGTCGCCGTAATTAGTCCTTTGAGCGGGAACCGTCGATACATCGACTCTCTATTAGGACGTATGAAATTCGGAGCGTCGGAATACCGAATATTGTGCAGTTTGATTATAAGTAGTACGCATCGACCTGTACGGACGCCTCTTAGCGCCAAGTATAACGTTTTTAATAAGTTAATAACCTTCATAAATAACCATCTTAAATTATTGTGCTGTGAATTTAGCATTGATTTTTATATTATTTTTCTAAGTTAAAGTATTTTATAGGGCACTTTTAAAAACATCCTAAATATCTGAAAATAAGTTTAACACTAAAAAAAAATGGTGTGCGTGAAAGAAGTGAAACTTCTTTTGTTGTTTTCTTCACCTTTAAATAAAATTTATCTTGTAATAGGGAATGCTGTGTATAAGAAAAAACGACCTGAATTTCTTTGTCCATTCCCGTCGATTCTTGAGACGCTCTGTCTATTTTCTCACTCTCGCCCGTCCTAAATTGTATCTTTTCTCTCTAGCCGTAACGGATCTGTCGCGAGTTTTATTTTTATTTTATTGCCCTTGTAGGCAGACGAGCGTACCGCCCACCTGATAGTGAGTGGTTACCGTCGCCCATGGACTTCAGCAATGCCAGGGGCAGAGCCAAGCCGCTGCCTACCGCTTAATACTCTCCACAAGGCTCTTTTAAAGAAGGACATCTCATAGTGCTCGGGAATCAACGTGGAGCGGAGCTCATTCCACAGCCGGGAGTTACTCTCAACGCGCCTAAAGAAGTTTCACTTCGGAAATTCTTAATATTGTGCGTGTTCGTCCGCAGCGTGGCGTACGTGTCCCGCTCGGGAGGCATGAGCAACGAGCTGAACAACATCCTGTCGAAGGACGCGGACGGCGTGTGCGAGGGGGTCGCGATCGGGGGCGACCGCTACCCCGGGACCACCTTCATCGACCACCTGCTCAGGTACAGTCACCCTGGTATCATACCTACTCAAGAGGGTGTTTTTCAAGTCCTTCCACTTGCTACTGTGGCGCCACCTTCATTGGTTCCCTTTTAGCGTATACTTTATAATACACTGAGATGGTACTTCTTAGCTAAACCCCCCATACTATATTACGCGTTGCGACACGCATATATACAGAGTCATCTCTGGTAAAGATTGAGTTCTGTTACATTAATATTTCTCATTAGGTTCGAAGCGGACCCGCAAGTGAAGATGCTGGTGCTGCTGGGAGAAGTGGGGGGAGTCGAGGAGTACCACGTCTGCAAGGCCATCAGGGACGGAATCATCAAGAAGCCCCTCGTGGCCTGGTGCATAGGAACTTGCTCCGGTCAGTCCGTCATTGTATTGGCTATTTAATTATCATAGTATATAATTGACCCTCAACACACACACACACACACGCACACAAACGCACACGCGCACGCACACGCACACACACGCACACACACACAGACACACACACACGCACACACACACACGCACGCACGCACACAAACGCACACATACACACACGCGCGCGCGCGCACGCACGAACGCACGCACGCACACGAACTTACACAGCGTAGGTGACTTTAGACCTGGAGACTTATTGTTCTCTGATCAACTAGATCAAATGATATGTGGCTATCACAAACATTTGACAGATGCCTGAATCGTGCTAACGACATTTTCAAGATAACCTTTTGGAAGATCTTTCCTTTGTCGTTACCCCCAACGCCAGCTGTCATCAAACAGCAGAAACGAATATCAAAACAACTAGAACATTCGAGACGTGCAACGCCATCTGTTGTCGGCTAACGAAAACTTATGTTGAAACGACTAGTACTATCGGGAATGTTCTCGATTATTGTAGACATAACGTTTCATAGGCAAATGGAGGTAGTTAGTAATCAGAACTATTCGAAGCGAAAGAAGTGAATTGCTATGAATTGAAAGTCTACCTTAAGCGTTCTAATTAGATTGAGTTTAATTTATATATATTTTTTATTGCTTAGATGGGTGGACGAGCTCACAGCTCACCTAGTGTTAAATGGTTACTGGAGCCCATACACATCTACAACGTAAATGCGCCACCCACATTGAGATATAAGCTCTAAGGTCTCAGTATAGTTACGACGGCTGTCCCGCCCTTCAAACCGAAACGCAGAGAAACGGCTTCACGACAGAAATAGGCGGGGCGGTGGTACATACCCGCGGACTCACAACACGTCCTACCACCACCAGTAATTACGCAAATTATATTTTTGCGGGTTTAGATTTTTATTACACGATGTTATTCCTTCACCGTTTGTTGAGTACGTATTTCATTAGACAAATTAGTACCCGCCTGCGGGATTCGGACATCGGTGCATATCACTCAACACGAACGCACCGGACGTCTTATCCTTTAGGTCACGACGGCTTCAATATTTCGACTCCAACTCGTGACAGTATATAGACGGTTCCTTACCCCACAGACATGTTCACGTCTGAGGTCCAGTTCGGACACGCGGGCTCGCTGGCCGGCTCCGCCGTTGAGAAGGCTGCGGTCAAGAATGAGGCTCTGAAGGCCTACGGAGCCACCGTCCCGGACTCCTTCGACGGCCTAGGGGCTGCCGTGGGCGAGGTCTACCGCAGGCTGGTCGACGAGGGCAAGATCATCGTCAAGGAGGAGGTGGAACCGCCTAAGGTCCCCATGGACTACGATTGGGCTCGGGTCAGTTGGAACCTCCAGTTTATTTGTCCAGTTTTTTTTTTATTGCTTAGATGGGTGGAGGAGCTCACAGCCCACCTGGTGTTAAGTTCTAAGGTCTCAGTATAGTTACAACGGCTACCCCACCCTTCAAATCGAAACGCATTACTGCTTCACGGCAAAAATAGGCGGAGTGGTGATACCTACCCGTGCGGACTCATAAGAGGTCCTGCAGGTAGGTGTGCAAAAAAAATTTATTCCACATAAATGAAAGTACATACTTGTTGAACGTCAAAAGAACTACCGCCAATTCATAAAAACTAGCCTCCGTCCTGAGAAGAACTGGTAAGTAACTCAGCGGGCATGTATTTTTTTTTTAATATTACATTTTTATTTTTTTTAAATATCCATTTTTACAATGAGTATCATAACGTAACAATTATTACAATATTGAAATGCCCAGAGTGAACAACTCATTCCCACTTTGTGCAATCTTCTAGATCAGTGATTCTCAACCTTCTTTTTGTTGCGGCACATATTTAACGATTTCAAAATTTGGCGGCACACAAAAAAAAAGATAAAAATTATTTACTTACTACAAGTTTATCAAAAAATTTTTATATACGAAATAAACTAAAATATACTATAATTTTTTTCTTGTGGATTTAAATATATATTCATGTTTAAAATATTTTTCTTTTACAATGATATAATTTAATTTTGCAAAGTTTGGCGGCACACAAAAGTGCCGCGGAACAGTGGTTGAGAATCACTGTTCTAGATAATCATTGACTTTATAGTATAGTATAGCTTTATATGACGTATTTGAATGTGAATTACAGAAGTTGGGTATAATCCGGAAGCCGGCTGCCTTCATCAGCACGATATGCGACGAGCGAGGCCAGGAGCTGAGCTACTGCGGGGTGCCCATCTCCCAGGTGCTGGAGAGGCAGCTCGGGGTCGGCGGCACCATCAGCCTGCTGTGGTGAGACCCCTCGCGCCGTGCTGGGCCCAACTGTTTAACTACTTCCATTGTCCTACGTGCAGTGTGTCTGTGACCATTGACGCTTGCAACCCGCCTCAATAGTTTCTTCCCACCCGGTGTTAAGTGGTTACCGGAGCCCATAGACATCTACATCTACTGCCTTGAGACATGAATTCTAAGGTCTCGGTATAGTTACAACGGCTGCCTCACCCTTCAAACCGAAATGCATTACTGCTTCACAGCAGAATTAGGCAGAGTGGTGATAAGGCAAATTATAATTTTGCGAGTTTGATTTTTATTGCACGATGTTATTCCTTCACCGTGGAAGTCAATCGAGAACATTCCTTAAGTACGTATTTGATTAGAAAAATTGGTACCCGTCTGCGGGATTCGAACACCGGTGCAACGCTACATACGAATGCACCGGACGTCTTATCCTTTAGGCCACGACGACTTGCTTGCAGTGCGACTCAATAGTTTCTTCCCACCTGGTGTAAGTGATTACCGGAGCCCATAGACATCTACGACGTGTACACTGCCTTGAGACACGAGGTCTAAAGTTTCAATTTTTACAATACATCGGCAGCACACGAAACACATTACTGCCACCCATGCGGGCTTACAGGGTACACTTTATGCTTGTTATCACGACGAAGGGCTCGACGAGTAATTTAATCCACAGATACAGCCCACTTACGACCCGGTCTTATCGACGTCGACTTCATAATTAAATAATTACGAGTAATTACGAAAACCGCAAAAACTACATTAATGTGCACAATGTACAACGCTAATGTGTTTAATTCTCGAACATTCTCCCAACCACGAATTTTATTAGAAAGAAAAAAAAACTGATAATTCATTACAAACAATAATATGTATTATCCAATAGGTCTCGTAATGTAATCATCGTATTAGTCCAGGATCCACCGCCCATTTTTGCACTTGATTACTATCAAGCTAATTTTCCGTGAATAGCTTCGTTTTGATGAGACGCCCAATAATTTCCTATACGAAACTCTCGATTGTGGTAGCTAACAGAGGTAGCAAGGATAAAATATGTTGATTTGATGATTCTCAAATATTTATTACTAACTGAATTTTTTTTTGTTAAATCTCAAGACAATTATCTAAATTATTCGAAAAAATATTTGTCCTACAAAATCTATGGTTTGATCAAAGAGTCCCCTCTTTCCGACATGTATCGATAACAAGGTCATCATAAATGATTACTAACCAGCTGATTTTTTTTTTTTTACTTAGTTAATATTTATGTAATTTAACAGACATATTGTCCTACAAATTGCGCGGTACGTTATCCTGGTCCTACGCTCAAAAGTAGTAGTACAGATCCTTGATGTAAAAATAATTACTATCAAGCTGAATCTTCGTGAATAGCTTCGTTTCGATGAGTCGCCCAACAATTTCCTATGCGAAAATTCTCAATGATGGTAGCTAACAGAGGTAGCAATGATAAAATATGTCGATTTGATTATTTTCAAAAATTTTAAAGAAATTAAAAAATTAATAATCGTCAATGTAAATTCAACAAAAAATTAACAAAAAAAAAGTTGTGCCGCTTGGGTTTCTGTATTTTGCTACTACAGCTGAGTCACACCGGTACGGCGGTACGCATGCGCAGAGCATTGCTTACTGCGTATTAGGTATCCCACGTTAGTGTTGACCATAAGCCTGCAAACATTTTCTCAGTCGACCACGTGTTTTATTTTATCTTGATAAATAATTTCAAGAAATGTTTTTTGTGCTGCAAAATAATTATGGAGTGTTTTTTGTGTAATTCGTTATGTGAAAACTCTACTTTTCGAGAGAAAAGAGAAAAAGTGAAGAAATTTAATAAAGACTTTTGGCTTTCTTGCAAAACTTTTCTATCTGCTCGAAAGCATCATCAACATAAATATCGAGATGTTATATTGCCTGAAAATTGGAATGACGAAGTAATAGGTTATCATTCCTCTTGTTACAAAGAATTTCGAGTGAAATCTAAATATTTGTCTTATGAAAGGTAAGTCGATCGAATATTTACTTACTTTATTTTTAAAATAATTGAAACATAATTTATTAAGTTCATATTTTTACGTAATTATGTGAAATCGAGCATTAGCATTGTAACATTCTATTGTAGCATTGTATTATTGTTACATTCTTTAAACAATAATTTTTGATAGTATATTATATTTTAAATATTTTCTTATTAAATTTTTTGTCATTTAAATTTATGTTTTTGTATGACTATTTGACTAAATATTAATTTAATATGGGATAATTTTTTCAATATCGATGATTCTATGTGATATTTATGTAGACACTGTATTTATTTGCATGTTTCTCAAATAAACAATTTTTAATTTTTTTTTAATAATTTCTCATACACAGCACTGAGCCAGCTTCAACATCATCAGCGTCTCAATCTACTGGAATCATTGATTCTTCGATATCTTTAACGTCTGCTGAAAATGTAGAACCGGACCCATTGCCAGGCACTTCACGGTTAGTTAATTAAATAATTTTTTTTATTTGTTAGTAATTGTTCATTTTTAAAAACAAGTTCATCTGAATCTACTCTTTTAAATGATGCCATTACAATTTTTTTTCAATTATTGTTTCTGTAAAAGTACAAATCTCTAAAAAGCTTCTTGAAATTATTTATTTATTTTTTAATTATAAAATTGTTTTGCACGTTATTATTTACAGAAATATTGACCAGAGTTCGATATTAATTAATGATGAAACCAGTAATATTGAAGATTTGGAGAATACTGTTGAGGAGGACAATGTAGATTGTGAAACGGAAGTACAAAGTTTTGGAGATGATGAGTTAGCAAAGAAATGCTTTTTTTGTCAAAAAGTCAATAAAAAACGTAAAGGGCGACAAATATACTGTCGTAAAATTAAAAACAAAATACCCTTTCTAGAAAAAATTAAAAATTATTCTACAGAACTGGGCGATATAGAAATGTTACGGAAAATTCAAGAAGAAAATAACTCTGTTAACGATACTTTTTTGGCGTATCATAATATATGTAATGTCAATTATTTTGCCAAATACCAAAGGAAAATGAATCCACCTCCAACTAATGATTGGGCCACGAAACGAGATGGCCATAAAATTGCCAGAGAACGCTTGATTAATTATATTCAGCAAGAAGTTATTACAAATCGACGAGTGATGTCATTAGCTCACTTGAAATATTGTTATGCTGAATTTGTAAAAGAAATTTATGAACACGCAAATTTAGAAGCTACCACATTTAGCAATCAAGCTCTCAAGGACTATATACAAACTCAATTAAAACACAAAATATCATTGGTCAATATTTCAAATCAACAATTTTTTATATCATCTGAAATCGATATTGAAACAATCGATGATGAAGAAATTAATGATATATTATTTGAACAAGAAGCAAAAGATTTCGCCTTGAAATATCGAAAAAATATATTGGGAATAAAAAAAAACCTTTAACAGATTTCATCGACAGTGAAGTATTAAATGAAGGAGAGTGCGATGTTCCAAAATGGTTAGATATATTTTGGACTACTGCTTTAAGCGGTATTGGCAAAGAAAGCTGCGATCGGGTTCGGAGATTGTCTTCATCTTTTTCGCAGGACTCTATCTACAGCATTACAAGAGGTTATATTAAACCGCGAAAGCATATTTTATTGGGTATAACCATAAAAAGTCTCACAGGAATCAAAAAAGTCGTGGATATATTAAGCAGGCAAGGATACTGCATCACCTATCCAAGTATACTGGAATTGGAGACGTCTGCTGCATACTGTTGTGTTTCTAATAATCAATTATGTCCAACAAGCATTCAACGAACTTCTATATTATCATCTGGAGTAGCGTGGGATAATTACGACAGATATGTAGAGACAAGCTCTGGTAAAAATACCTTACATGATACAGTGGGTATCATTTATCAAAATATCCCTACAGAAGAAGAATTGAACATCATCAAAAGGAACGATGCATCTACAGAAGCTGAACGGAATTCTTCAAGTAATGTTCGTGATTTGGCTGGCCGTAGAAAACGTTCGTTTGAGGAACAGTCATTTGAAAATATACTGTACGCGAAGCAACGACGTCCAGAATTTTGGCGTAGTAGTGTAGCGTCACCTGAAGAACCACAAAATTTAATTAATTTTCAACATAGGCATTTTACATGGGTACTTTCCCATAACTTAAAAATTTCAAACACGCCAATGTGGGTAGGATATAATGCCAAAATTTTAAAAGATGACAGTAGAATTCAAAAGATTGAGTATTTAACGCAAATTAATAATTCACCCACGGATCCAGCTGTTGTAAAAGAGACGATGCGTAGAAGTTTGCAAATCGCTTCAGAATGTCAAAAAGATTTCTTCAGCGTTACTTACGATTTAGCCATGGCCAAGATTGCTTTACGGATACAGAGTGCGGAGGATGAATTCGAAAAACTTTTTATTAATTTTGGACCTTTCCACATAATGTTATCATTCATGAAAGCTATCGGGAAATTTATAAGTGGATCTGGGTTAACAAATATTCTTATAGATAGCGAAATTTTGGCCAGTGGTTCTATCAGTTCGTTTTTAAGTGGAAAACACTTTAATCGATGCAGAAAAATTCATCCTTTACTCTCTCTTGCTTTGCAGAATTTACATTTGGAAAGGTTTTTACAGCAGCATGATCAGGACCTGGAAAATATTAAAGAATACTTAAAAATATTTAATGAACAACAGAATGATGACCCACAAATAACCAATGAGAATTTAAAAAAATTATTTAACAAATATGAAGAATATAAAAATGAAACTTTAAATGGAAGGCATGGTAAAACACCTCAAATTTATTTAATGTACACAAGATTAGTTGAATATTATCTTCAATTAGAATATAGTATTCGTATAGGTGACTTCAATTTGTTTGTAGACACTTTACCGAAAATAACAAATGTTTTTTTTTCAATGAATCACCATAATTATGCAAGGTATATGTCTATTTATTGGGATAAGTTGATAAATATTGAAACTACACATCCCGGATTGCTTGATGATTGTCAAAAGAGTTTTATGGGCATTCGAAGAACAATAAAACCGTTTTCAAGAATCCCAGTTGATTTAACACTTGAACAAACAATCAATGCTGATGCTGCTTCTAAAGCTTCTGGAATTGTAAACATTACAAACTCGTTCTCTGCAAGACAAAAATGGTCAATTACTCACTCACTACGTACAAGTGTTATATCTAAAGTGATGGAATTTTGTAATATGAAATCAACAGATGATATTACGAAAGATTTAAAGAAATCAACAATTAATAAATCTACCAAAAACTTACAAGTACTAATGCAACTAATAAAGCAGTACACCAACCCTTTTGGATTAGAACTGTCAGAAGATCATCTTTACAATATATCGAAAGGTCAGTCGGTGAACGATGAAGTATATAACTTTTTATCATCAGTTGAAATTGAGGGCGAAAAACAAAATAAGAATTTCATTGCTGAGTCTCGAGTAACACCAGATAGGTTTGATAAAGCCATTACCAGAAATAAAATAATTAATTTTGAGTACAAGAATACGCAAAAAGTCAAAATTAATGGAAAAGTGAAAGAAGTTCAAATGCAAAGAGATGTTTTTGGTCGTCTACTTTATGTGTCACTAAAAAATAAAATTGATTTAGAAAAAGCATTAAGTTATCCTCTAGCTCCTATTCCATTTTCACTCTGTCATACTAATGGAACAATTTGCAAGACCCCAAAATCTGTAATTATTAATGAATTACTAGAATATCAAACTGAAATAGTAAATCCTCCAGAAGCAGATATTCACTTAGTTGATGGATTTTATTTATTACATACATTGAAGAACCTTCCAAACAGATATGGTAAAATCTCAATGCATATATTAAAAATACTTACATATAATAGAAAAGAAGTACATATTATATTTGACAAATACAAAAATCCCAGTATTAAAGATTTTGAACATAATCTGAGAGGTGAAGATGACATACAATATGACGTAATACGTAAAGACAATAATCGTCCTTCAGATTTCTGCAAATTATTGAGGAGCAACAATTTTAAAGAAAAATTTGTAAAATTTTTAATTGAAGATTGGACAAGGGACGAATTTATTACTTTGATCACAGGAAAGACTATTAAACTTAATTATGATCAATGTTACATTTATGAGGTGTCTAGTGAAAATAAAATAAAAAGAGTCATTGACTATAATTTCTCTTGTTATCATGAAGAAGCTGATACCAAAATAGTATACCACATTTGTCAATTTAATACTAACTATCGTGTGGAGATACATTGTACAGATTCTGATATACCAATAATAATGTTGGCAAATTTTAAGCATTTAAAAGATAAAATTCAAATAATAATTAATTTAAGCACGAATAAAAAAAAAATGTACTTAAACATAAATGAAATTTATGCCAAGCTTGGAGATCAATTATCTTGTTCACTCGCCATATGCCATATTTTTACAGGGAATGATTACAATCCTGCTTTCTTTCGTAAAGGAAAAAAGAAACCTTTCAGTATTTTAAAGAAAAATGAAAATTTTCAAGAGGCATTTATTCAACTTCTACGAATTAAAAATACGGAATTAACAACATCGAATGAGGTAGTTCAAATTATTGAAGAGTATGTATGCAGAATGTATTCATTAAAAACAAAAAATGATCTGAATAAAGGACGGTATGAGTTATTTGAAAAAGGGTATAAATCAAAAAATGACAATGAAAAAATTTTAAAACAAAAAATCGTAGGATATGATCCTTCCAGTTTGCCACCAACAAAACAAGAATTGTTGCAACAAATTAAACGAACTGTATTCATCTGCAATATATGGTGTAATGCACACATGCGGTGCCCCACGGAAAAATTGCCAGAAAATTTTGGATGGACAATAATTGATGGTAAATATGAATATTATTGGTTTGATGGTCCCCAAAGTCCATCATTTGAAGAATTATCTTCTGACTTACAAGGTAACCTATTAATACTATTTTTATGTATTGATTGATTATTCATTATTATATAATTTACTTAATTTTTTCATGTTATTACAGAGTCAGATATCACGAGTGAAGAAAGTGAAACAGATGAAGATGATAACGATGTTAGTAGCGAACATTTATCAGATGAATCTGATGAAGATTAATTTCTTTATATATATATAAATACACAAATTTTTGTACCTAGATTACTAAAAAATAAAGTTATTTAAATTTTAAAAAAGATTTTTTCACTGTATCTTATTTTACAAATAGAAAAACGAAAAAATTACAATTCTTGTCGGACTAGTGATACATACCTGTTTTCTTGTAGGACGTTGTTTCATTTGGGCAGAGAACACACTAACCTATTATATGATATTTTTGTCCTACAGTTAGTAATGAGAAAAATGGTCTTGTGGTATTAACAATTTCTGAGCGTAGGACCGGGATAACGTACCGCGCAATTTGTAGGACAATATGTCTGTTAAATTACATAAATATTAACTAAGTAAAAAAAAAAAAATCAGCTGGTTAGTAATCATTTATGATGACCTTGTTATCGATACATGTCGGAAAGAGGGGACTCTTTGATCAAACCATAGATTTTGTAGGACAAATATTTTTTCGAATAATTTAGATAATTGTCTTGAGATTTAACAAAAAAAAATTCAGTTAGTAATAAATATTTGAGAATCATCAAATCAACATATTTTATCCTTGCTACCTCTGTTAGCTACCACAATCGAGAGTTTCGTATAGGAAATTATTGGGCGTCTCATCAAAACGAAGCTATTCACGAAGATTCAGCTTGATAGTAATTATTTTTACATCAAGGATCTGTACTACTACTTTTGAGCGTAGGACCAGGATAACGTACCGCGCAATTTGTAGGACAATATGTCTGTTAAATTACATAAATATTAACTAAGTAAAAAAAAAAAAATCAGCTGGTTAGTAATCATTTATGATGACCTTGTTATCGATACATGTCGGAAAGAGGGGACTCTTTGATCAAACCATAGATTTTGTAGGACAAATATTTTTTCGAATAATTTAGATAATTGTCTTGAGATTTAACAAAAAAAATTTCAGTTAGTAATAAATATTTGAGAATCATCAAATCAACATATTTTATCCTCGCTACCTCTGTTAGCTACCACAATCGAGAGTTTCGTATAGGAAATTATTGGGCGTCTCATCAAAATAAAGCTACTCACGGAAAATTAGCTTGATAGTAATCAAGTGCAAAAATGGGCGGTGGATCCTGGACTATATACGCTTTATTCGCATAACAAAACGCAATCGTTATTATGAATTGAGAATTAATTTTAATCTCACCGTAAACATATTTATAATGTTGCATGTATTGATAATTATAAAAGCGTATGAATGATAAGCGAATAGGGTACGAGCTACAGAATTTACTTAGAAAATATAAAGTGGAACTTGCGTCAGAAATGTCCTCTGAATGAGACTTACAGAGAAGACTCTGTGGTTGGCTGAGAAACTGGCATCCAATAGACGATGTAGCCCATTGAATTTCTCACCGGGTCTTCTCAGTGGGTCGCGTTTCCGATCCGGTGGTAGATTCTGCGAATCACTGCTCTTGCTAGGGCTCGTGTTAGCAAATTCTCTGAGGTTGAGCCCGTGAGCTCACCTACCCGTCCGGGCGTATCTGGAATAGCCCCTTACGCTACCAACGAATAGGTAAGATAAAAACAGAATGACAATATGTGACCGGATAGCTGTCCTTGTGAGCCTGCAATCGTGGGTACCTTAACACCAAAAGGGTCGTGACAGATATCAATAAGTTATCGTTTACTAGTAATGTATATCATACCAGAAACGCGTCTCTGAAGTTGCTTGTATAGTGCTCGTGTCCCGCGGCAGGTTCCAGCGCGAGCTGCCGGAGTGGGCGAGCCGGTTCTTCGAGCTGGTGCTGATAGTGACCGCGGACCACGGGCCCGCCGTGTCGGGCGCGCACAACACCATGGTCACGGCGCGCGCCGGCAAGGACCTCATCTCCTCCGTCGTCAGCGGCCTGCTCACCATCGTTAGTACTTTAAAATTCTCAATTCACTTCTTCCGCTTCGCTATTTCGCTTCGAGTAGTTCCGGTTACTGACTGCGTGCCATCTCGACAACGCTTTTATAGTCTATACCACATCCCTAGAATTGTCGAGAACATTCCTCACAAGTCGAATATTTTCGATGTTTGTTTTCGCTATTTGATAATAGATGGCGTTGTAATTCTGGAGCGTTCTAGATGTTACTAGATCCTTTGACATTCGCTTCGGCTATTCGGCGATAGATGGCGTTACCCTTACCGGCGTAACAATACTTAAAACAGAAAACGCAATTACATAAGCCTTTTATTGTTTACTAGCGACCCGCCCTCGCTTCGCTTCGGAAACTGTAATTTATTATTGAATTCTCCACTATTCAATGGATGTTATTATACATATAAACCTTCCACTTCAATCACCCTATCTATTAAAAAGAAACCGCATAAAAATCCGTTGCGTAGAAATTTAAGCATACATAGGGACAGAGAAAGCGACTTTATTTAATGCTATGTAGTGATTCATTCTGAAGTATTCCATATTGTTATATTATTATGTATCTACATGATTGTCTGTGTGTCTCAGGGCGACCGGTTCGGTGGGGCCTTGGACCGCGCCGCGGCCGACTTCTGCGCCGCCTACGACAAGGGACAGCACCCCCAAGAGTTCGTCAACGAGAAGAGGGCCAAGGGAGAGCTGATCATGGGCATCGGACACAGGTGACTGACTCCCTCCAGCATTGCTCGTTCCAGATCGCGTACTCTTTACTGGTGGTAGGACCTCTTGTGAGTCCGCGCGGGTAGGTACCACCGCCTCGCCTATTTCTGCCGTGAAGCAGTAACGCGGTTTCGTTTGAAGGGCGGGGCAGCCGTTGTAATTATACTGCGATCTTAGAAGTTATATCTCAAGGTGGGTGGCGCATTTACGTTGTAGATGTCTATGGGCTCCAGTAATTACTTAATACCAGATGGCCTGTGAGCTCATCTGCCCATCTAAGCAAAAAAAAAAAATTAAAATGAACAGTTTTATTTCTTATCAAAAATATCGATGTTTTGCTAATATCGATCATCCCTAGTTCTGTCTCGGCTGCAGGGTGAAGTCGATAAACAACCCGGACTCCCGCGTGCGCGAGCTGAAGGCGTACGTGACGGCGCGCTGGCCCGCGTGGCCGGTCACCCGGTACGCGCTCGACGTGGAGGCGATCACCACCAGGAAGAAGCCGAACCTCATCCTGAACGTGGACGGCATCGTGGCCGCCGCCATGGTCGACCTGTTCCGCCACTGCCAGCTCTTCACGCAGTAAGTACTCGACGATTCCCCCCGACCCCGCCTTATCTGCAGTAGTCGAGATTACGACTGTAATCTATATATGTATTAATATGTGAAGCAAAAACTTTGTACTCCTTTTTACGCAAAATGCGGACGGAGGAGTATGAGATATCTCACACTTATAGAGAATAATAGATAAGAATACATTAAATCAATAAAAAAAAACATTACACACACTATCATACATTTGACACAACACATACATATATATGTTTATACTCTTTGTTTATTGTCAATTGTCAAACGTTTGTTATTGCCTAAGTCTGTGGTCAAATTGAGAATCGGTTATTAATGTTTGTCTTTAATGATACTAGTGGTCCCCCAATCGTCGAAATTCGACTATAATTAATTGAAATTATAAGTTTGTACATTATTATGATTCTATTGTCAAAGACTATTATACTTCTATAATCACAGATTTCGCCAAGACTACATAAAGTGTAAATGGCAAATATTAATAAAGACATACAATATTAATTAGGTTTTTAGGGATTTTATAACCTGGTAACTAAGACTTTTAGGTCATGTCTTATTTTAATTTATATTATTATTTTTATGGAAAATGATGCTGCTTCATGTATTAATTTAAATATTGTTGTCCATGTGTGACCTCTATATTGATGTTTTTGTTTTTGTCAATTTCAGAGATGAAGGCAATAATTATATTCAGATGGGCTCAATCAACGCTCTGTTCGTCCTGGGTCGCACGATAGGTCTGGTCGGACATTACTTGGACCAGAAGAGGATGAAGCAGCCTCTGTACCGTCATCCGTGGGACGACATCACCTACATGTCGCCTCTGAACTAAACGAGCCGGTTGTATTTTGTGTTTCAAACGTAGAAGTAATGTTGAATGATTTGCACGAGAACATCGACCTATAAGTACAATTGTGACGTCACAGCGTCAGACTTCGAGCCCGCAATGGAATGTAAATTTTTGTTTATGTGTTGTAATACTAGTTTATTCTTTCGGCCTCGGTCGAGACCGCGTTGTATGTGCGCATAATGAATGACAACAGCAGAATCGTTGTAGCACCAGGATTTGAATCAATTTTGATATGATTTTTTTTATTATTATATTATGTCTAAGAAGAATAGTCTAAATTCCATGGAAAATACAAGAATATTGAAATAAATTCGCGTAGGAAGCGATATTTGCTCAAAGCGGTTCGGATCAGGCCTCTAGTGTCGAAGAATTCTCTTGGTTGTGTTCAGAGTAATGTCTGGTGAATACATCATGTTGTTCCCTAATATGTCACAGATACTTAACTGTGACTTACCCTAGTATATCACCGATACGCAACTGTGATTTACCCTAATATCTCACAGGTATGTAACTGTGATTTACCCTAATATGTCACAGATACTTAACTCTGATATAAATCAGTATAAACCAGTATATCACTGATAATAGTAACTGTGATTTACTCTAATATTTCACAGGTACGTAACTGTGATTTGTCCTAATATATCACAGATACTTTGATTTATACTAGTATATCACAGGTACGTAACTGTGACTCATACTAATATTGAATTACAACGCACACTAATATTTAACAATGACTTACCTAGTATTTCACAGCTACTGATATATATCTTCATGATATCCACTAATCTGTACTCTGATACAATTTCCCTCGCGTAATCCTCGTCGTTCAGTTTAAGTGTGAGGTTGCCGCTGTCGATCCCAGGGTGTGATCGGAGATGAGTGATGTCAACAGGAAATCAATTTGTTCAACGTTATTTCTATGAATTTCGAAGGTGACGCGCGCGATCAGAGCGAATGTAATACTATTTTAGTACAGGGGTACAGGGGGGAACACTTTTGATTCCAGTGGGCTTAGTGCGAGCTTTTTAACGTTCTCGCTAGCGTTAAAGTTAACTCAATTTTGTATAGAGTTGGAACAGCGCCCCTAGCGGCATACGTAGGCAAACGATCCAACTCCATACAAATACGGGGCTAACTTTTACGCTATCGAGAACATTAAAAAAAACTCGCACTAAGCTTACAGAGCTGGTATGGTGTGACTGTTTTTTNATTCCAGTGGGCTTAGTGCGAGCTTTTTAACGTTCTCGCTAGCGTTAAAGTTAACTCAATTTTGTATAGAGTTGGAACAGCGCCCCTAGCGGCATACGTAGGCAAACGATCCAACTCCATACAAATACGGGGCTAACTTTTACGCTATCGAGAACATTAAAAAAAACTCGCACTAAGCTTACAGAGCTGGTATGGTGTGACTGTTTTTTTTTTTTTTTTCGTAACCACAGATTTGATATCCGTTTGCTTAAACGGTGTCCCGATATCGAAGCGAGATTATCCGCCGTATTTCTCCGAGCAGGTACCACCGTCAGAGAGAAACGTAATATTTATGCGTAATAATAATATTTTTGTTTTCAAGTGAAATAATTTCTCATTTCTCAATCTCGGATTAGACTGTAAATTTTAAATGAATTATCTAAAATACTTCTAGATTAAAGACTATAGAAACATAATAATATTATTAGTTTCTATCAAAATTGTTTGGTACATGTGTATATTATTGAACATAATACGTAGGTATCTCGCGCCCGGTCAATTCGTGTATGTACAGGGTGCTCTAAAATCCCGTCCGAAATTAAACTTTAGCCGGGACTTCCCCGGTAATTGACCGCAGCGTCAGCTGTTTTTAATGCTCAAACAAAATTCGAATTATCTGATCTTCGCTTTTGAAAACGTCTCATTACGCCTTATGCACAGACATCCTTGCCCACGCCTCGTCTCGCTCTGGTCGCGCTAGTTTGACAGTCACAAACTTCACGCGTCATTTTGACAGCCGCGGTTGTCAAATCGAAAAGAATCTGTCATTCCATGTTTTTTTTTTTATTCAATTTGTTTTTGTATCTTCGTGTTGCTTCATCGTACAAATGTTTTTTTTTTATATTTTTTTAGAAGGGACATAGTTATGTGTGCTTTGCGAGCTATCGGATCGCGCGTTTGATTCTCGGTGTCTATGAATAAGTACGCTTCGTGTGTTGTTAGACAAAATTTACTCTAAATCTCTAAATTATTTATAGAAAATTGTAACGTAATTTTTATTTCTGTACTAGGGTATAAAGAGATCATAGTAATAATGACCTTGAGACGTGAGGTCGATTTGTATTGGGACGCTTTCCAGCAGACACAGGCACTTGCGCCTTTATGTAATAGAAACTTTCTTCAACACTTTGACTGCGGTGTAGGTCACCGGTGTCCTACGCGGCGCAGTGAAGTAATTATGTCGATTTCTGTTACTAAGGCACCTGGGTTTGCTATTGTATCGGTCATCAGTCCGTGACGCGTGTGCTAATTGTCAAGACATTCATAGATTCCATCACTTAGAGATATATAGTAACCCCCCCTATAACGCGGTATATTTGTTCCGCGTTATATGGATATTACCGTATAACGCGTTTTACGACCTCGTATAACGCGTTTTACGACCTCGTATAACGCGTTACGTATAAAGGATTGATCGCGTTAAGCTTTTAAATTATTTTTTTATACACAAATTTAATAAAATAATTTATTTTTGTAATAACACAATTGAGACACGTGCAAAGGTACGCGAAGTAATATAAACTGTACAAATGATTATTAATTTCACAGTACAGAAATATGAATGTCGGAAATCCCCGCGTTATATAGGGTAATGCCCGTGTTATACGGGGGACTTAATTCGCGTAATATGAAAACGCGTTATAGGAGGGATTGCAGTATATAAAATTAGATACATCGCACCTTTAGAATTCGCTCAATTGTGTGGCTTATTGTGGCTTAATCCAAAATTCTTGTTTTCTGATACAAGCCAAAAAGGTAATTGAGGAATTTTAATTTTTCAATTTTGATTTTATGACTAAAATTTAAGGTATGCGTTTGATTTTAAAGAGACGGAAAGTGTACTTTGTCCTTTTGCTAACTAAAATTTAAATTTCACATTTTTATATTATTTAAAAAAAAAAATTATAAACTGACCGAGCACACGTTTATAAGTTTTTCAAAGTAAAAACTGATTTTCTTAAAAAATTTTAGTTAGGCCACTTTCATTCTAAAGGTGCGATATATGAAGTTAACAAAATTCACTCTTTTTTTTTCATTCACCCTACCACCCTAACCGCTAACAACAAATATATTATGTCTAAGACGTCTTGTTACGGTGTAATAATATGAAAGAGAATTTGTTTCATTTCAATATTGGTGGGAATTCACAAATACATAATAATACAATACAATATTATATATCGAGGGGCTATTTATTTTAAGCGACATTTCGCTTATTGTGCGCGCGGAACTAGTTGGTCGCGCCTTGGGTATGTGAGGGGTGGGACGGAGGGGCGGGGGCGCTTGCTGTCATTACTGATGAGAGATTTGATATTGTGATGGACGAAATCATTATAAGCTTACAAGATGATTCTGAATCAAGTTCAAGGAGTTAAGAATCAAGTGATTCAGAGGATATGTCAGAGTAATTTCATATACTTAATTATTTTTTTTTGGTTTATTTTACTATTACAATATAATTAGATAGGTACATTATAAAGTTCGATTGATTTTTATTTATTATAGCTGACCCGGCAGACTTTGTAGTGCCTCAATCGATATATAAAAGAACTAAACTTTTGTATAAAATAAACAATAGGAATCCGTCCGAAGAGGATAATAAATAAATCAGTCCGACGGGGGACATATCAAACGGAAAACAAAATTGTTATTTTTATTAAATTCCGAGCATTTTCGTATTTAACTACCTTTTAAACCTTCTCTGGACTTCCACAAATAATTCAAGACCAAAATTAGCCAAATCGGTCCAGCCGTTCTCGAGTTTTAGCGAGACTAACGAACAGCAATTCATTTTTATATTAATAGATTTCATTTATTTATTTATTTATTTATTTTATTTAGTCATCACTGTCTAATCTCATATGCGTTACGAGTAGTAGGTAACCCACCCCCTCACCCCTAAGGCGTGGCCAACTAGTTCCGCGACCACTATATATAATACGCGACATTTATCTTTGTAATTAAAGGTCCGTTTTATTTGGTATCAGCATCAACAGTTCGATGTTTTTAATTGGACTTCAATTAAGTTTAATCCATTCAAAAAATTCAAAAAATCCATTCAAATATGTCTCTTAAACCAAATAGATTTACACCCCTCGATATAATAAGAAGCTATTGGAGACAAAATTTGACGGTAAAAATGTTTTTTGTTTGTTTGTTTGTTTGTATATGATTTTATAAAATATATATTATTTAAGTTAAGTTTTATTTTATTCTTAAGCGTTCGGGACTCGGTGTCACAGATTATAATTATAAGTGCTAATGACAAAATAAAATGTTATAATGCGAAATAAATAAATAAATAATTTATGATTTTTTTTTTGTGTTTTCATTTTTGCTTTGTGTTTTTCTTCCTACCTATTTACTGGTAGCCTAAGAGGTTATTGCAGCTACGCCTGGACGGGTAGGTGAGCTCACGGGCTCAACCTGAGAGTATTTGCTAACACTAGCCCTAGCAAGAGCAGAATCTACCACTAGATTGCAATCGCGACCCACAAAGTTTCTCCTCACAGTTTTGTAATACTGTATGTGTACAATGTATCAGGGCTCTGAAACTGCGATACTTTAAGATAAATATTTTTTTGTATAGAAACTTGCGACATCTTGTAGCGGATGCCCCTAAACTTATATGTTGTTAAAGGTTAAGACATTTAATTATTGTATAACTAAACACAAAAATAAAAAAACATACATGTCTTTATTTGTTATAGATAAATTGATTAAATTTTATTAATTTGCAGTTTCTGAAAATTTACAATATCCTTCATTAAAAATAAAATTTAGGATAGGTAATATGTCACTGTCTACAGGAGCAATAGGGAACTAATCGAAGCAAAGCCATCTAGTGGCCGACGTCCATAAACATTTTTGTTGAGTGCTCGAGTGGCTTATCTATAACTTGTTTATATGTATTATCTATGCAATGGATAGCTTGGAGCTACTAGCGCGGTCCCCTCGTGTGGTGACCACCGGGGTATTGATCTATGTGTACTTGGAAAAAAGACCAATATAGTCTCAAGAATTGTTTGAGATGACCCCATCATCTCGTTTTTACCATCGTCACGCGCGGCACCGGAGCAGAGTTCATACGTAACAGAGCTGTGTGCTTAGTGCGAGTTTTTTAACGTTCTCGATAGCGTAAAAGTTAACCCGACTTTGTATGCAGTTGGAACAGCGCCCCTAGCGGCAAACGTAGGCAAACGATCCCATTCCATACAAATGTGAGCTAACTTTTACGTTATCGAAAACATTAAAAAATTCACACGCAGTGGTGCATTTACACAAGGGGTAGTCGGGGCAAGTGTCCAGGGCGACGAAATTTTTGAAAGTAATTTGTTTTTAATTGATAAATCAAGAAATTCAATTCATCCATTATTTGTGAATTATAATATTGGCACTATTGGTAAAAATTAATAATCAAAATGATTTAATCAATTTATTTCCTTGGAGATTTAAAATAATAATCGATTTTTCTATATTCTGTAATTAAAGAAATTTAGTTAGTTTTTTTTATGTAATATAATTATGAGTCACCCATAGTCAAAATTTATAATTGTTAGAAAAAAACAAATATTAATTTATGTTTTTGGAGTTTCCACAATAAATTAGTTATTTTAATTTTGAATAATAAAATATATAAACTATAAGTTTAGCTAAAATTCCAGTATTGGGGCGGATTTTTTTCCGGTGCCCAGGAGCGGCATTAAGTTTAAATCCGGCCCTGCTCACACTAAGCACACTGGTACCTGGAGTTCCCCTCCGCGGTGTTCCCCGAGCGCTATGAGATGTCCTTGTTCAAACGAAGCTTGCAGAGAGAGAGAGAGAGAGAGAGATTGCTGATGTCCAACGTAATCACTCCCCATCAGGTGGGCCGTATTCTCGTCGGCTTTCTAAGGTTATAATTTAGAAGTGTTACAACAACAGTGAACTTCGTCAAAATATTGTACTAATACAG